ATAAGGGGAGTCTATCATGGTGAAATCAAACAGAGTTATGCTTTTATTTTTTTTGATATCTTTAATGAGTTGTTTTATTAATGCGGAAGTCATAGTAGTTAATTCTAATTTGGATAATTCTGCAGCTGATTTAGCGCTAACCGGTCCTTTGACGGCTGGGGGTGTAATTACGTTACGTTCAGCCATTGAATTTGCTAATTTTATTGGGGGTTCTAATGTTATTAATTTTAATATTCCTGCCACTGGGGTAGTTATCATTCCCGTTGGCACTGGCGATGGTGTTGAAGGTGACCCGTTGCCCGAAATATCCACTTCGCTAACAATTGACGGTTATTCCCAGCCCGGAGCTACACCAGCTCAAGTGGCATGTAATGCGGTTGGATTTGAAGTGGCTCAACTTTTAATAATTCTCAATGGCGGTGCGGTTACTAATGGTATTTTTCAAAATGGTTTAACTTTAGTAGGTGGTTCTGATTCCTCAGTAATTAGAGGTTTGGTTATTCAAGAATTTCCGGCTAATGGTATTGATCTTAATGATGGCTCTGCTCAAAAAATAGTTGGTAATTATATTGGAACAAATGAAACGGGGACAAGTGCTGTGCCTAATGGCGGAAATGGTATAAACATTACGAGTGTAACGAGTGATGTATTTATTGGCTCTCTCTTGCTTGCAGATAGAAATATTATATCCGGTCAGACATTGCTAACGGGAGCTTTTCCGGTGAGTGGTGTTGGTATTTATACTGAGGGATCTGATGCTCAAATAATTGGGAATTTTATAGGAACTGATTCTTCAGGAACACTTTCAGTACCGAATCGTACAGGCATTTATATATTTAATCCTATATCTGCAACTGCTCTTAATAATACTATTAAATGTAATACTATACAAAATAATAATGGAACCGAATCGCTTGAGGGTTTTGGTGTTATTATTAATGGTGCAACCGACAATCCTATTCTATCTAATTCGATTTCAGGTAACGCAAAAAATGCAATTGTTCTGGTAAATGATGGAAATGATAATTTGCCAGCACCTACGCTGATTTCTGC